TGAGAGCAGCCCTGAAGGAAAGGAGTTGGGGGTACCAGTAGATGAGAAGCTCAACATGAGCACACTTGCAGCCCAGAAAGCCAATTGTGTCCTGGGCAGCATCAAGAGGTGTGTGGCCAGCAGGTCGAGGGAGGTGATTCTCCCCCTCTGCTCCACTCTCGTGAGACCCACCAGGAGTGCTGCGTCCAGTTCTGGAGCCCACAGCACAAGAAAGATCTGGACGTGCTGAAGCGTGTCCAGAGAAGGGCCACGAGGATGATCAGAGGGCTGGAGCACCTCTCCTATGAAGACACACTGAGAGAGTTGGGGCTGTTCAGTGTGCAGAAAAGAAGGCTCTGAGGAGACCTTATTGTGGCCTTCTAGTATCTCAAGGGGGGCTACAAGAAAGCTGCTGAGGGGCTTCTTAGGATGTCGGGTGGTGATAGGACTAGGGGGAGTGGATTGAAGCTAGAGATGGATTGGTTCAGATTGGACATTAGGAAGAAGTTCTTCCCCATGAGGGTGGTGAGACATTGGCACAGGTTGCCCAGAGAGGGGGTGGAAGCCCCATCCCTGGAAGTGTTTAAGGCCAGGCTGGATGGGGCTCTGAGCAGCCTGATCTAGTGGCGGGTGTCCCTGCCCATAGCGGGGGGGTTGGAACTAGATGATCTTTAAGGTCCCTTCCAACCCTGACAATTCTATGATTCTATGATCTCTTTTGCAGCAAAATTTCAATGCCTATTTTTAAGCCTAGACAGCAGAGCCAATATGTCTATTGCTGGTCTCCCTGAAGATGGCAGACATGACCAACAACAGTATGAGCTAGCAAAAGCCCTCTCTAAAGCTTTCTAGCTGTAGAGTTAGCAGAAAAGGCTGGGGGGAAAAAAAACAAAATAAAACAAAAAAAAACACCAAAACCCAAAACAAATCAACCCACAGATCGTTTCCAAAAGAACCTCAGTGAATTGTCACATCCTGACCTGAACTGATTCAGTGTTTAAAAAACAAACATCTATGGAGACAACTACAGTCAAGAAACAAGTCTAAAGAATCTGTCTGAAGTCTGAAGCCAATCAAAAGACACACAAAAAGTCCCGCATGGCAAAATGTTGGTCAATGGTTGACTGTTACTAACAAGGCTACTGAGCTTCCATTCACACAGTGATGACATCTTCTGCATTCCTTCACACTCATCTATTTCAGAGCAAATTCATTGATTTGCATGGAATTGCTCTGGAAATTAGTATAACTGATAGCAGGTTTGTTTGAACTTAATGGGTGGTTCTTTCCTCTCCTATATAGCCTGAAAGGAAACCCTTCAACAGAAATGAAATTAAGGATGAAACACAATTTTATGGGTAATGAAGGCGAGTAAAAAACATCAGATGAGATGTATAATCAGTATTAAAGCCTTGAGCAAAGAGAAGACTAAATGGAAGAACCACATCTGCATGTTCCATCTTGCCAATATGCCAAGATTGTATCTGGAGTCAAACAGTGTCCAGAGCCACTTAAGAAGAGAGTCTGCAATGCGGTATTTCAGGGACAAAAACGGAAAACACAATTCCAAGTGTCTGAACATACTGTCTTTCTCTAGTGCTGTACAGGGACTGCAGCCAGCTATAGCCTGCCTTAGTGCACACAGCACTGCAGGAAAGACTTTCAAGGGTTTTCAGTAAAGTGTACTGGCAGTGAGGGAGGAAAGATCAAGAGAACCAAGCATGAGACTTCTTGCCTCAGTGATGACAATGAGAGTCTACACTTTCTCTGGAGTGTATGAACCTCAGAAAAGAAAAAAGTTATGAAGAACAGCACACAGGGTATCTGTAGGAACGACTGAGCAAAATGATGACTAGGAAAACTCAAGGCTGGGAAAAGGCCTCCCAGAGAATATACAAAATAACTTGTTTCAAAAACAGCTCATCCTTTTTGGTGTCGTGGGCCAACCAGCAGTGCAATGACACTTACACCAGCCACATATTAAAACAGAATTTGCCATCAGTCAGTCTTTATGTACCCTCAGCCATACACCTGTCATACCTCCCTTCCACACACAAAGAAAAATGAAACTGCTAAGTTGCAGCACTTTCCTGAAATGCTCACTCTTCAGCCCAGTTTTAAGTCATGGTAGAAAAGGCAACAGGCCATAGACCATTGTCCTGGGGTGGTCAGACAGGCACTCTGGTCTAGTATAAAAAAAGGAATATTCTAAAGTGACCAACACATGAAGGGGATGGCTTCATCTGGACTTCTACCTGGTGCTTCTGCAGTTTTGTGAACAGTAAGTAACAGTTGATTCTCCCTTTAAGTGAAGTGCTAAGATGATTAATCAACACTTGTGCCACATTATGAGCCATCATAATCAGTGTGCCCTTGCTTGGGATGTTCAGTGCAAGGGACACCAAGGCTTAGATGTTGATTTGAAAGTTCAGTTCCAACAAGCAAAGAAGCAGCAGCACCAACACAGTAACCACAAGTCATAAGGGCTCCAGCTCTATTCAGAAAGGCTCCTTTCAGCCAGTCATCTTAATGCAATACACTCCTGTAGGTGGGTCTGTGTGTGAATAAAGTACCCTGAAAGATCAATGAGAAGTTCCATAAATTATCTTCAACCTAAATAATAAATTACACAGCGGAATAACAGTCTTAGCCACTTCTCTCACCTCCATCCTGAAACTTGCTCAACCTTTCGAAGTATGATGATATAGGGACTTGAACAATATCTAAAATTGCCAGCAGTGTCCGTGTCAGTCTAAGAAGCTCACTGAAACTGTAAAAGCCAAAGTATATGAGGTTTCGAGCCAGATGTACCACCTATGAGAAAAAGAAATTAAAAATGAAAGAAGTATCGGCAAGCTTTGCAGTATTTGGCTGTGCAATACAATTGCATTTCACACAGCAGCTTTCACAGAGATTGAGATCTAGAGTGCTTTCAAATTAGTACAAGGCTTTCCACTGATTTAAACAGGCCTTGGACTAAGGCCAGTGACATTAATGTTCTTCAGAGTTCGACAAAACAATTGGTCAGTCAAATTGCAAGAGAACAAAACCAGCACGAGATTTAGGAAGGTTTGAAAGGATGCAAGTGCACCTGGGAAAATATGTAAGATGGAGAAGAAAGACTTCAGGAATTTGTTTAACAAGGCAGCTGCTGCGGGGAAGATGGAAGTCAGAAGGACAGTAAGAAGACTCTGACAAGTTTGAATGGAGGTGATTTCAGATGACCAGAGGCAGAAGCAACAAAGCTTGGGAGGTCGGTTGGAGGAAGAACTATAAAAGCTGTAAGCATTTGTCTTCTATTCATCGCTACTTAAATCTAGACATTTAGGCCTACCCAAAGTTTCTGTAAGCAATTTCAAACAATATTTAAACCAGAGGATTAGGTTATTCAGAGTATTTCCTTCAGTGTCATCTTACACAGATTTCCTGAATGATAATTCACTAACGTGGAGAGAAAGGGCCTATGTCCATTCACCTACACACATACCCCTCCCTCCTGCCACTGAAATGCAACCATCTCAGAAGGAAAATGCAGCTGTTTGACAGCAGACAGTAATACTATTTTCTACAGTAATACTCATCACTAAGAACACTGGAATTAGGAAGTGGTGCTCCTAGGAAATTTTACACCAACATCTGCAGCTACCTTTGTTTCAAAAGAACCAATGTCAACTTAACTCAAATGAGGAGGAATACTCTAAGCAGGATGCAGATAACTGAGAAGTACCTCAAATGTAAGTTTATTTTTCTCTTTGTCTCCAAAAGGAAAGGGTTGATTTACAACTTCTTTCAAGTACTCTTCTACAAATTCCATTGTTAGTGCAAACTTCCTCTTCATTTCATTTCTTGAAGAGTCTGTGAAAGAATCATACCTACAATGCAAGACATAGGAGGAAGGAAAATTAAACACCTCTAATATCAGGACCAGCTGTCACTAAAGAAGAAACAAACCAGTCATGATGCTATGAAATTACTGTCGGTTCTCTGTAAAAAGAAGGGGCAGAGGTCAGCTGATTTATCAGATACACAAACAGGGTGCACAAACCTTCCATCCAACAGTACCAGGAAGGGTTGCAGTTAACAGGAATACGAGACAGGATAATACCACAGATCTGGCAGGTAGCACTCTTAAATCTTGCTGTGGCAATTCTCTAAATCATTGAGTCTCAGCTGTCCTCTTTACCCATCAGGCAGAGTTTACTGTTTTCACAGGGAACACTGTGGATCAGGAAAGCAGCTCAGGACAGTCAGCCTCCTCCTTTGCATCACCAACTATGAGTGATTTTTCTGTACATGTCAGAACAGCCCTTCATCTCACTAACAGAAGCAATACTGTCTGCTGCACTGCTATACCACTGCTATACCTCTTCCTCTTTGTCTCTTCAGCCAGATACTCTCTGTCTGGGTCTAGCCCAGTGGCACTTGCTCCATCAAATCCATTAAGCCAGAGAGGATTTCCACTGAAGTCAATGGGCCCTTCTCCCATACTTAAATTTAACATGTGCTTAAGTACTTCACTGGACGAAGGCCAAAGCCTCTGTGAACTGTTTCTGGGGAAATAGCTCTACCTAACCGTAAATTCGGGCTTTCTAACTGAGGCTTTTAGTTGAGCTTCAAGTACAAAAACCTGAGTCCCAGCCTAGCAAACCTGTAATGTTAAATATAATTGGATTATTTCAAGTTCAGATGACCTGAGGAAAGGCCACTCCATTTTTTTTCCCCAGCTTGCTCCCTATAAGAACACAGTGAAAAATGAAATATTTCCATGAAAAGCTACCCATGGGAGTTTCCAGGAGCAACAATAATTAATAGCTCTGTGCTCTGCAACAAAATACCTTTTCACATACATACTATGTTGACATTTTGTTCTGAGACTAACCCCTACAAAATGCTTCCATGATCTTGTTTGAAATACTTTCAACTCACTCATGAATTGTGATCTTAGTAGGAATTTCAGTCCACAATCTGGCATATCTGACAGGTACCACAGATTCCTGAGGATCTCTGTCCACATGCATGTGTAACATCAGCCGACAAAAAGAAGCCCGGAGGTCATATGGGAGGCTTTCGTCAGACATACATCGTAGGATTAAGTCCACCGACAGCTGTGCAGAAATCTGGTTGATGGCAAGATACTGGCGGTCCAGGCACATTCTTGCAAAGAGGTTCAGTTGGTACCTTAAAAAAGGTAATAACATACGGTCCTCAAAGAAATGAAACAACATACTTCAGAATCTCACTTCACAAGCCTGATGTCAGCCCTTCTGATACAAATTCTAAAAAAAATAACAAAAGTGACTTTGCTAAGCCAGGGATCAACTTGTTATTAAATAAGAACATCAAGCTCCAGCCTCCATGAGAACTGGGTTCACTTTGAAACTCAAAGAAAGCATTGCTCAATGGAAGGCTGAAGCATTTGGACTATTTGTTTTGAATCAGTGTAAGACATTGTTTTGAGACCCTATTTCCCCTCTAATCATAGAATCATAGAATGGCATGGGCTGGAAGGGACCTTAGAGATCATCTAGTCCAACCTCCCTGTTGTGGGCAGGGACGCCACCTCTCAACTAGACCAGGCAACACATGAGGACCAAGCAGGAATCGAACCTGCGACCTTGGTGTTGCCATTGTTGTCAGCATCGCGCTCAAAACACTGAGCTAATTGGCCCCCTAATCCTCAGGACACTCCTTCTTCAGGGCGTGCCTTGCTTCCAGGGCAGTACAACCTAACAACAAAGCCCAATAAATAAAAGGTAAGAGGCAAAGTGATAGAGACACACAAAGACCTGTCATGAGCAAAGGAAATTCAAGGTTTACCTGGAACAGACAGCAGAGATTGAGATGCTCGCTACAGAAAAATCTTGAAACAAACTTTTAATCCCAGTTTCTGGCATAATCTGCTTCCCTGTTTTGATACTGACAAATTAACTGGATAAAACAGCACTAAGGTCTTCAGAGAGTTTATGTTTCCTTCCATTTGAATAAGCAGTTTTACCTGTAGTAGGTAAGAACTTCTAAATCAGCTTTTGTACCCTCCTTCGCCTCCTGAGCCAGATGCCTGATGGCTTTGCCATGAGGCTCCTTGTTACTGTCAATCCAGTACAGCCACACTTCCTCTTCATCAATGTCATCTGAGATGACTGGGCATTCCAAGGGATTGTCCATTTGTGTCGAAACCAGCCTGCAAACACAAACCATTCACAATGAAGCCACTAGAGAACTCCTACAAATATAACAACAGAGCAGATAAGCAAAAAGTATGTTCAGACTATGGATGCTCACTTGGTCTGAATGAGAATGTCAGCATTCCCTGGGCTCAGCATAAATTTGCAGATGAGTTCCTGAGTTACTGGTATTGCTGTAGTGTTAGATACACACAGGTCCGATAGATAATCCAAGAATCTGCAGTCAAAAAAGCACAGATGCAACTTAACATGAGACTTGAAATACTACACAGGAACACTGTGGTAGAAACCTCTGGCATCCATCACTAATGTGCTCAAGAGAGATTTAGTAACATAGGATCTTCTTTGATTCATGCTATTGCAATTCACAACAGATAAAGATGAGTGATAGTTTTCAGAGCTACCATGAATGCTGCCAAACAATCAGTCAGGAAGAGGAAAGAGAAATATCCCAAGTATGACACTTCTCAGCATATTAAAGGCCAAAGAGCTGCGTCAGAACTTAAAAGCAGTCTGATGCTGTCTTAAGTTTGGCTGGCAGGGAAGCTCCACTGAAGACCCTTGTCCTTGTCAGGAACCAAAAGCAAGAGTACACATTCTCATCCACCTTCCCCATCAGGCAACATGTGTCTCCCTAACCCAAGTAGCAAGGAGATATTACTCATGCCGGAGATAGCTGCGTGCCCTCTGAGAAACTCCATTGCACTGGAGGAGTCCATACCTCTACTTTTGCAAGATGCCTTTTAAAAATCTTTGAAGTTACACAGCCAACAACTAGCGAAGGGTGAAGATCTGGCAGGACCTGACGGCAGGACCTCTGTATTCAAAGAGGTCATGCCACGTAAAGCAGAAATAACAAAGTTTTGCATGGAAATCAGTTTCCTATGAATTTGTCTCTCGAATTTAGGTCTTCTGATGTTTAACAAAGTTCAGCCTGAGGTTTTCCTTGCAGTTGGGACATTCATTAGGTATTTGCCTCTCCTCCTTCCTTCAGGGATTCCTCTGTGTGTATTAGCAGTAGTCCATGTCACAGCCTTTGCCTCACTGGAATATAAAAAGGGCCCCATCTCTCTATGTAGCTCTTCTTTTCGTGACATTTGTAGGAACCAAGTATCTCTGAGCCCACCACTCCTCACAAATATAGCTAAAACTGGACAACAGGCTCAAGAACTGGTGGGGAAGCAGACAGAAGCAGGCACTCACACACACATCATATATCCTGCTTCCCTAGAAACCCAGTTTAAAAGTTTGACCATCAACTATCAGCTACTCAAGGATCAAATATTTTGAACCTCTATAGGTGATCATCCTAACCAGAGACAATCAGAAGATAAATTCTCCATTAGCAGAGACCACAGACCCCACAGAAATCTGGGAACTGCAAGGGATAAGTAGAGAAAGATTTTTTTAAGGTAGACTTAGGAACAGTTTTACCTATCGCTGAAATGAAGCTTTGTGGTAACAGGTAATAAACAGTGCAGAACAATATTGCATCACAAAGATAATATTAAGCAAATAGCACATAATCAAACAGTATTCTGGGGGAGTTACCTAGCTGAAGCCAAAATGCAAGAAGGTTTTTTTATTTTGTAGCTCATATTTTAGAGCCTACTGCCACAATTCTTACACAAGCAGTGTTGCAAAGGTCTACAAGACTCTCCATGAAACCAAGTGTCATAAGATCAAGCCTTTACCATTCAAAATGCACCACCTTGTCAAGCTGGGTTTTTTAAAATATTTATTGCTCTTGGACTTCAGCCTTAACGAACTGAATACAAAGCAGCTGCACAATGTAGTTATGTAACAAATACTATGACATCCTCCATCACACACAAAAAAAGTAGCAGGGGATTGTCAATAAACACTAGGACCCTTCAGCACTAACAAGAAGTTGATTTCTTGTGGTTTCCTCTTAGTAGTAACCAAACCCAATACAGTTCAGCATGGGAGAGGCAATGAGATTGGAGAGTGAGGCAAAAGGCTGCAGACATATAGAGAATAATTGAAGCAGTGAAGCACCAGGGCCTTGAGCAATTGTCCTTAATCACTAGCAGAAAAACGGTACTAACAATTACAGAGGACGGTATTTGGCCTTCAGTACATTAATTTCTTATATTTTTATTACTTCAGGAATTTTACAACTAGAGAACCAATGAAAAAAACAGATAGATTTTCCATTAAAAAAAAAAATCTATTTCATTTATATTCTGACCTAAAGCTAAGCAAAAAAATTTCCGAGTGAAGTTCAAGACAAGAATTTTTCATCTGGAACACAATCTGGTCTAAGACACATGTTCACCAGGATCTTCACCGTGCTAGGCCCCCTCCAGGTCTGACACAGAATCAGATCCTGCAGGAAAACTGGTATCAATAAAAGCTTAGAAAATTTGTGTAATTTGCACTAAGATTTTTAACAGGGGAACCAACACAAGCTGCAGTTTCACAGAGCAGCTGCAGAGTTACGAGAAACTGTTTGTTTCTCTTTGTCCCAATCTGAACTAAAACCAAACTTTCAAAATCATCCTGTAAAGTACAAAACCGCTTATCAGTAAGCTCTAGTCCTGAAATGCAAATATGGTCAAAACCCAAGAATTACAGGTAGTTCTGATATTTTCAAGCATGACACTCTCTATATGTGGGGGTTTTGCCTGCCAGATCAAAAAGAAAAATTAAGCTGGGAGAAAGAGACAATAGAACAATGAATGACAAGTAGATTCACAGCTACTGGAAATATAAAAGCCTATCAATACAGAAAAAGAATGTTATGTGGACCACTTCAAACCTTGGCTCTCGATTTCTCCTGAGTAAATTAACAAATGTCTCTATTTCTTTAGCCGTGATGTGTTTCTCTAGCAGTTTTCTGTTGTTGTGCAACAAAGCTGTGATGGTGTCTTCTGCCAGAATATCATAACCAATCTGGGACTGCATGACGCAGAAGTTCTTAGCAATATACTCCTGAAAAAAATAAAAATTCCCATGATGATCTGCTAAGCAGTAGTGTTTTTCTTTTAGAACCAGAAGCATCCCTCTCAATTAGCAATCGAAATAATCCCCAAAACTAAATACTAAAATACGCACCTCAAGAAATAGATTCAGTATTAGAGATGCCTAACATTTCATATTATTTCATTAACCAAAGGAATGAACCCATGAAAATATATACAAAATTCAAGAAATAGCAATCATTTTTTAAAATAAAAAACAAAACTGTTTTTAAAACTTTTAAGACACTTTCTTTCCTGAGTCTTCCCTCCTCCCTTTCTCTGCCTGCAAGACAGAACCATGTCTGCAAAGCATTAGAAAGAAAACAAAGAAGCCACACATAGCAGTTCAGTCATTTATCTCTAGCTCCTTTTGTCCTACAAAATTAGTGCAGTTTTTCCCTGCTGTAATGTGCAAAGCACTTGACACCATGTTCTGAAATACTTCTTGCTCACGGGGAGTCTCCAGCAGTGGGAAAACAGGCCACCTGATAGAATAAGCTCTGGTCTGATTTAGTGCCATCCCTCTACAAATATTTAAGCAACAGACAGTTCTGCAGACTTTCCACTTTATATTCCAAGGTCCAAAAGCATAATTTTAATACCAGAAAGCTCATGAATGAAGCAGTGACCCCAGTCTCGGTCTGAGCCTGTGAAAGTACAAGGTGAACTTATCGTATTCATTGGTGATCATTCTCAAGCTTAGGAAGTGTGTGTTGGATGAATGGACAGTGGGGTAGATTGAAAACCATCTAAATGGTAGAGCTCAGAGGTTTGTGATTAGTGGCACAGAGCCTAGTTTGTGGTCCGGAACAAGTGGTGTTCCCCAGGGATCAGTACTTGGTCCAGTCATGTTTACTATATTTGTCAATGACCCGGATGAAGGGATGGAGTAAATCCTCAGCAAGTTTGCTGACAACACAAAACAAGGAGGGGTGGCTGACACACCAGAGGGCTGTGCTGCCATTCAAAGAGACCTGGACAGGTTGGAGAGTTGAGCAGAGAGGAATTTCATTAAATTCAACAAAGGCAAGTGTACAGTACTGTACCTAGGGAGGAATAACCCCATATATCAGTGCAGGTTAGGGGCTGACCTGCTGGAAGTCAACTCTGTGGAAAAAGATCTGGGAGTCCTGGTGGACAACAGGCTGAGCATAAGCCAGCAACGTGCCCTTGTGGCCAAGAAGGCCAATGGCATCCTGGGGTGCATCAAAAAGAGTGTGGCCAGCAAGTCAAGGGAGGTCATCCTCCCCTTCTACTCGGTCCTGGTAAGGTACTGTGTCCAGTTCTGGGCTCCCCGGTTCCAGAAGGACAGGGAACTGCTAGAGGGTACAGCAAAGGGCTACAAAGATGATTAGGGGACTGGAGTATCTCTCTTATGAGGAAAGACTTGGGTCTTTTTAGTCTGGAGAAGACTGAGGGGGCATCTCCTCAATGCTTCTAAATACTGAAAGGATGAGTGTCAGGAGGCTGGGGCCGGACTCTTCTCAGTGGTGTCCAGTGACAGAACAAAGGGCAATGGTCACAAACTGGAAAAAGGAGCTTCAACCTCAACATAAGGAAATGCTTCTTTACTGTGAGGGTGGCAAAGCAGTGGAACAGGCTGCCTGGAGAGGTTGTGAAGTCTCCTGGACACCACCCTGTGCAACCTGCTCTAGGTGAACCTGCTGTGGCAGGAGGGTAGGACTAGATGATCTCCAGAGGTCCCTTCCAACTCCTGACATTCTGTGATTCTGTCATTCATATACAAATGCCTACAAAGCAAAACCACTATTCCTCAGCATGAGGCAGTATACAACAGTGACTTGTTACTACTAACCTACACAAAATCCAGTCCTTTCACCATTAGCACAGAATCACAGAGAGTGATTCACACACAGTGCAGAGAGCAATGTAAAACACAGGTTATATAATTATAGAAAACAGAAGGAAAATTGTCTTGTACACCACTGACCTGGTTTTTCCTATAGTCCTGCTGGGAATGTCTGAGAACTCTGTAACACAATCTTAACATGTATTTGTATGGGGCATATCTCTGGTCACCAAGGTCTTCAAGTCTCAGCATCGATCCTTCACCTTTGTCCTTAAAAGGAGCTTTGAGGATGCCAAATATCTGTTCAAAATCAAAACCACTGAGAATGAAAATCAAATCCAGATTTTTGCTTAACTTATACCAGTCAATGGAGCTGTCCTCTGACAGGATCAGCACAAGGGCCTTATCGACCAACGTCAGAAGTCAACCAGTGCACGTATCTACATACGACTACATCAACGATTTGTTATCCAACCTAGTCTTAAAAGTCATCAGAACCACATGAAACTAACAGCCATCAGACATGGTCCCTCATGCTTCTATTTGATTCCCACACCAGGAGGTGAGCCTTGACTAAGTAGTGTCATATCTATCCAATCTAACCAGACACTAACCCAACACAGCATAAGCCAAGTTACCAAAAATCAACATTTTCTCAAATCACTCCCTCCTATGATCTATGTGTAAATACAAGCAAGTTATTAATAAGGACATACCTGAGCCAATATATTTTGTTCCCTCATCAATTTTTGTCGTTCCCGGTTTGGCTTGGTAATGACCACATCCAAAACTTCCTGCCCATTATTAGGCGCATCAGCAACAAAGAAAATAAGATCTTCCAGTAACTTGGTTACAAACCTAGTATGAATATGCAAATCATTATTACATACAGTCATTCAAGTCATATACAGTCATACACTTTCTACGACTCATTAAGAAAATCACCATTTAGAACAAGCTTTATCTAGAGCAATGGAACTTCGATCACTGCAAAGTTAAGTTTGACATGTACTTGAGAATTCCAGACCTTGGTTCAGCA